GCATGCCCTCGGGGTCTTCTTGGCTCCCATCTGGTGGTCTTCCTGGCTGCCTTCAGGATTACCCCAGATTCCATGCATGCGCATGGCCTTCCTCGGCTCACCCTTAGGGTGACTCCAGATTTTTATGGTTTGACACCATACGGTTAACAGCAAAACCAGTCCAAACTAACACACAAGTATGTCTTTTACAAAAAGCTAAAACTATATACATTAACCACTCAATTTCTCTTAGGCCTGCGGTTATACAAGGGTATATAAGACAGAAAGTCACATTTCACCATGCAGCCCTAGCATTGGTCCATATTGACACGAATCAGATGAACACATTTCACACTGATTTTTGTGCTTTTAAAATTCCCTCCTCTAAGCAGACACACTCACACACTCTGAAGTGCCCAGTTCTCCTGTCTTAACAAAAAAACATTTGAAATACTTTTTATAGAAACATCAATGCCCCTGCCCAACATGTGCCCATGTGTAATGTGCACGCCCATACTCACACCATGCATGTCACTGTTTCACCTGGTGGGGGCAGGAATGGAGAGAAGAATGTAAACCTGAAGAAAGAGAGAAATGAGAAGGACATACGGGGTAGGTGTGCATTAGCTTGTCTTTGTGGCCAAAAGAATGGCAATGACACTTCTTCCAGCTTCTGAATTGATAAAACGCTGGAAGTAGACAAATGGGCAAGACTGGAGGAGATGCTTATTTTTGTTTTTATTAACTCTTTCTTCATGCCTGTGTGTGGTGTTTTGTTTGGTGGTCTGGTTTTGGGGTTTTTTTGGGGGTGGTGGTGGGGGTGTTTCTTTTTTTTTTTCTTTTCCTTCACAAGAATGCTTATTTGTCATATCATAATCAAGACATGGCTTAGCTAGCATTTTGTCCAAATTTTAAATGTACACTGAAACTCCTCAAAGTGGTCTCTGTCTCTATGCATATATCTGGGTAGGTCAGAGATCAGCGAAATGCTGATGTGAGAACAATATCTTAGTGTAATAGTCAGCTATATAAATTTGACAGCTCATTCTGCAGCAGGGTGAGAATCACTGTAATGATACAGCTTAAACTTTGCCTGACTCTTGGCTTTTTTGCTTGTTTTTTTAGGTGAAACATGGAACCCATTGAAGTTGCACTACCAATTGCGAAATGTCCGTGAACGGTTAGCTAAAAATCTAGTGGAAAAAGGTGTACTGACAACAGAGAAACAGAACTTCCTTCTTTTTGACATGACTACGCACCCTCTCACCAACAACAATATCAAACAGCGCCTTATCAAGAAGGTTCAAGAAGCAGTTCTTGACAAATGGGTGAATGACCCTCACCGCATGGACAAGCGCTTGCTGGCACTTGTTTATTTAGCCCATGCTTCAGATGTTCTGGAGAACGCTTTTGCCCCCCTTTTGGATGAGCAGTATGATTTAGCCACAAAGAGAGTGCGGCAGCTTCTGGATTTAGACCCTGAGGTTGAATGTATGAAAGCCAACACAAGTGAGGTTCTGTGGGCTGTTGTAGCAGCTTTCACAAAATAACTGTATTCAGACTGAATGAAGTGTTCTCTCTTCTTTCATGTTAACTAGTTGTTTTTCTTCTATTGACTATTAATGTTTTCTGTAATTTGTACCTTCTCACATGATGAATCAGCTCTTGTTTAATGGGAATTATAAGTAGTGTATTCCCTCCTTCTCTGTGTATCTGTATACAGGATTCTGCTGGTACAAGAGACCTTCCTGTTTAAAAACAACAGAAAAAGGTTTTACTGCCATATTGGCATTCTATTTCCTATTTAGTTTGAGCTATCTGAAATACTTTGTTTAATCTGTTTTTCATCTTACTGTTATTGAAGTGGTTTAACATGGAAAGTACCTCAGGGAGGAAATGTGCATGCAGTTGGATCACTAGTCTCAGCTGACACAGATGTGTGCATGCATCAATACTTCTGCAGTACAATTCATAACAGATTCGAAAAAGGGCCTTTTAAAATCACCAAAGCTCCATGTTGAAGTGTCTGTCAGGACATTTTATACACAGACGTTTCAATTATATCTAAAAAAAAATACTTTAAAAGCAGAAATGTCATTAAGCAGCTTTGTCTTCATGTTTTCATTAGAACGATAGCTGAGTCGTAAGACTAGTGTAGAAAGGTCCATTTGTTTCATAAACCAGTTTTGGGATGGGATACATTCCATTATATTGTATATATAGTTCAAATTGTATATTAACAACTGCCCCATCTTAGTATTTTGCAAGATCTACTTAGTTGTACACCTGGTGCCCCTCATTTGCTATCTGCCATTGCCATTTGATGGAAAGAAAGGCCTCCTATGAAGAGCATGTATGTGAAAGCTGTTTGTTTCCAGTGTCTACAGAGTTTGCCATCCAGGTATTCTCAGTCTATGCATTGCCTTTGATAATTAGTTTATAGAAAGAGACTACTTTCTATCATTGTTTGTACTTTTCTTCTTTTTTTTTCTCCTCCTGTATAGAAGAGGCTTGTTACCAGTACAGTTCTTGAGTGCAGGTTTTACTTTTGTTTGTACACAAATTAATGTTTGTCTCTTAAACCTCATAATCTATTTTACACTTTAAAAACAAAAAGTCAGTCCTAGTAGGTGTTGCATGTAAATGGTTAGCAAATAATGACTGCAGTTCAGATGATTAAAATTTCTGTAATGGGACGTTCTGCTATATTTAAATTTTTTATATACAGTTATGCTGATTAGCACACTATTGTAAAAAAAAAAAATATAAAAATGTGGTTTTTTAAAATTTATTGCCTCTTTGCCACTGCTTGTTATCTCCCATTGGTTTCACAGTTGTAAATATTATGCATTGAACAAATTAAGCATTGATTTATTTTTTTCCCTCATAAAAATGAAGATTTATAGTGGGGCTTACAGGTGTGTAGAAACTTTTTTTGCGTAATACTCAGAACAAGAATACTAGAAGGTATATATGTAGAGTTGAAATTTAAGGGATCCTTTAATCTGTGTACTAGCTTTTTACCTACAGTAAATAAAATATGGTCTTAAAAGTGCCTGAAACAGAGCAAGCATGTAATTTTTTTTGTTGTTGTTGCTAATTAGAAAGGTTTTATTGCTTAACTGAAAGCTTTAGTTAATATCCTTCTTATTAGAAAGGGGGAGTTTATATTAAGTAGATCAGCAGTGTCACTCAGATCTGCAGGATTCATAGCTGAGACAGACTGAGTTAGCTTATGAGTGTGCAGCTGTGCCTGCCATGGGTAGACCTCTTCTATCTTGAGCACAACTCTATAGCCTCATCTGTGACTGGACTTCCAATTTTGCACTTCATGTTAAATCAATTAGATGCTTAAGTAGTTGACTTTAAAATACATCTTAAATTCATCATACCTACATAACCTTTTTTTATAAAGATTTTTAAAATATGGTCCTTAACATTTAGTGGCATACTGTTCTTTCAGTTCTTAAATGATGTTTCTTTAGAAAAATTAAATTAAAAGTATATTGTAAGGTATTTCAAACTTTGGTTTACAAATAAAGATAAACAGTGTTCTCTCAGTTGTAAGATGCTGTGTTTAAAACTTTGAGGAGCTTGGGCATGAACTTTGGACATTTTCTTTTAAACATTTTCAAAACGTGACTGCTTTAAGTGGAGGAAAAATGAAAGTTGCTGTGTTGTTCTTATATTTGACAGCTTACAGAATACTTTTTGTACTTGATAGTATATGCTAACTCACTGCTGACATTGTCTCTCCCTCTTGTGATCTGTTTTCTCATTTTCTGTTGCTCTGAGAGGAGAGAAAAGTAATTAGGTGAAAAAATTAGAAAAAATAGTGGAGTTTTCAGGAGCAAGTTGAGTGCACAAAACTTTTAAAATGGCTTTGAAAATCTAAGATACTTGAAACATGCTTCAGACCAAAATTATCTTTCATAATCACTTTTCTGTCCTGTCATCTTCATTCTGTCAGGATTTTTCATGTTCCTGCTGGTTTCATGTTACATTGTGGAGGATATTGGGGTTTTGTCACCCTTACAGCCAACATGGTTTAAAAAAAAGGCACCCTTCTTTAATCCCTTCCAGAGAGAGGCTTTGTTGTTTTGTTTTGGGTTGAGGTTTGGGGTTTTTTTTCATGTAGAAGATAACTGCCTACAGTATTTATCAGATTTATTTTGCTTAAAGATAGAAAATCTGTCTCTGATGGGGAGAGTTTGTATTGGGTGTATCAAAGAACTTTGATGTAAGTAACAAAGGGTTTGTGAAGAGTGACAGTATCGTTTGCTATACCGCCTGGCATAAGCCTGGATGTGCAGGAGAAATAGATGAGCTTCTGGAGTCTTGAATCCTATGTTGTGCTTTAAAAAACCCAAAACCTCATGAGTGCTACCAGATCTTATATCTGACAATGAAGGTAAGTTTGGTAGGTTAACAGGGACTGATTTAGCAAACATCCTTGCCTTCGTTGCTATTTCAGGTTCTAATAAAATGATTAAACATGAGAGACTGCTTTGTTCTGCTGAGATTCAGGCACCCTTCTTCCTATTAGCTGCTACTGCAGCTCACAGAGACCTGGAGTCCTGATTTTAAGACGGTTTTGGCTGCTCTGTGTCCTCAGTTCTCAATGGCTGCTTAAAGTGAAGATTGCTTTCACAGCCTGAACTTGAACCTGTACCTCAAGGAAGAACACATATTATTCAGGGACTCATTCTTTTAAAACAAACTTTCAAGTTAATGTCAAAAACATGATTCTCAAAGATAAATCCACAAGCAGTATATATATATAATTTTACAGTCCTTGAGATTTACATCCTCCTCTCCTGTGTTTCTAGAGATTATGTTACAGTGCTCTTAGGGGATGTTAGTGAAACCTGTGTACCATACGTAACTCTTTAGAGGCAAAAGTTGCATAAATTGGCTATAAAAGGCTGGAGACTGAGTGCTCATGTGTTCATGCCAATTTCTCCTACAAAGTGAAGATGTGTATTAACTAATGTGTTCTCTGTGAACTGAACTGAATCTGTACCAAAACAAAATAAAGCACCCTTTCACCCTGAGCCGCAAATGGTTACTGTGTATCACATGCAAGCAATACTTAAAGGATTTTTTTTTTCATTTTCTAAGTAATTTCCAATTTTTCCTGATGCTCTGGTCTTCACCAGTTTGGGAAAGAGAACTTTAAGATCAAAGCCTCAGTTCTGCCTAAACTGGGCTTCAGGTAGACAAAGCATGTTATGTCCTAGTTTCCCCTATTGTGTCCATCTATTTTTCTATATGGAAGGGGGTTTCCAGATTCAGAGAATTACAAATTTATTGAAAAAGTAACTCATTCTGTGGTAATGCTTAATGTATACAACAGGCTAATTACTTAGCATCTCGTTTCCTGTCAAGTGTTTTGTAAGTGTCAAATATAAAATGTGATTTCAGATGTGTGTAAGAGGTGGCCTTCTTGGGTAGGAGGGGAGGATCTTTGGATGAGGAAGAAGCATGGTCAGAGCTACTGCCCATGTTAATCTCCAAATAAGATTTGGAGTTTCCTCCCATTGGGTCTTGTTTTCTACTGCCTACAAAGAAGCAGCATGAAGCCTGTGAAAAGCTGATGGTAAGAAATCATTCCGACTCAGGAGAAGAAAGCTTCTGTAGAAACAGTGAGAAGAAAAGTTGGTTCCTAAGGCAGCAGAAAAGAATAGTGAAAGAAATGCTGATGAGTAGTAGCCTTTGGCTTCCCCCCCCCACGTTTCTATACTTCCAAACAATTTGCTGTTTCAGTTTTTTTCTCTCTTGACTTTGGCCCCTGGTCTTCTCTGTTTCTTCTCATTTCCCTGTTGCTTGGTGAATTCCTCTTTCATGCTCATGAACAATCTGTACTGATTTCCAACCTTAGATGTTCCACTCTTGCCTTTTTACTAACCTTTTTTTGCTTTCAGTTTTATAGTCAACTCAAGCTCAACTCTCCTTTCCCCCGTCCTCAGAGTTGCTTTCCCCTCTGCTCTGATTCCCTGCTGATGCTTCAAGGAACCTCTCCTTCTTTAACAAATATGTTTGTCAATACTAGCTGCCTCGGTGGCTGAAATGAAGCAGCTGGCCACCTGCTATGGCCTATAACACGTGGTTTATTAAGATGAACAAAAATTGATGTTAATTTACCTTGAAACTTCTCTTTGCTTGCTTCAAAAGCAAGCAGTTGTCCATGCAGCAGGGAGGACTTACAGCTGAGAATCATGATTTTGCCAGTTCTCTAATGTAAATAGATCTTGTTCCCGAGTCAGTGCTCTAAGGACTTGCTATCTCTTACCCAAGCTTTTCCTACCGTGAGAGCATATATACTATCTATGCTTGTTAAAAAAAAAAAAAAAAAAAAGCTGAGATTGTGTTACAGCTCTGAAAAGCATCTTCTCTGTTTGGCCATTTATCTTTATGGAAGTTGTAGACACAAATTGTTTTGAAGGTTTCTTCACTTCTATTTATTTTGATTAAGAGGGTCAAATGGGAGAAGAAAGAGGCACAGATATACTTACAATGTGATAACATAAGTCCCATTTTCCTGGCAAAG